ATCTGCAGTTGCTCAATTCTCAAATTTTAACTATCAGAGATACATTAACCACCTGGAGGTGAAGGGGAAGGCTCTCCTCCCAGGTTCTCTGCCAAATACTTTCTGCCTTTTACTTACTCATATTTTCATTTATGAAGCTATAGCTCATTTTTCTGTTTTTCTTAATTATTCAATGTCTTTTTCATTCACCCTGCTGCGTCTAATATGCCTTAGCACTGGAGAGGAGAGAAGGATTTTATACTCCCAATTTGGGGCAAAAAGAGTGACCTCTCCCTTGGGTGGGCTCACGGGTGATATGATCGTCTTATGCAATGCTCTTATATATTCTCCCAGGCTGTAAGAGTTCATCTCATATCTACTAATTGGGTACCTGCAGCCATGCTATCATTGATCCCAACCTACTTTATTCTTTCATTCTTTTTTCTCCTACTTCAGACTTAAGTGCTTACTTTTCTCAAACTAAAGAATAAAATCAATGAACAAACTATTACCTCCAGAAGACACTATATTTCCATTGTCTGAGCTAGACTAAAAGTTGACTGGCACAGTTTTTTAGCAGGTGGTGTAATATTTGTTATTAGGATATGGCAAGAAATCCTAGCCTTAGATAGACATCATGGCTGAAGAAACTGTTTGTGTAGGCATAATAAAGAGGGTATATGAATATAGAATATGAGTTCTAAGCACAGAACTTCAAAAATGTGGACTAATAAACCTTTTCCACTGAGAGAATTAGCATATATTCTAATAGATGTATAATGTAATAGTAAATTGGGAAAACTGTCACATAGCCTAACATAAAATAGGACTACAAAGTCTATTGGGGGGATCTATTTAGAATTATAGTATTCCATTTCTCTTGAAAGTCTACTATGAGTAATTGACATTTTAAGGCTTTTACAGAAACGCATGCATCTCTAAAAGAGGAGGAAATGGAAGAGGACTAACATTTATTAAATTTTTGTTGTTTTGTGCTATGTAGTATCTCCTTTAACCCCTGTGACAACTTAATGTGTGAGTGGTATTACTCTGATTTTACAAACTCAAATTTGTTAAAGATCCTTTCCCAAGGATACCCAATTAAAAGTGCAATTTACATTCTAACTTAATCTGAGGCCATATGTTCTACTCTGAACCATCATTCCATCTTTAGAAGCTAAAAAAAGGAGGAAGGGGGAAGGAACGTGTGTATAGATAGTATCAAAAGAGGAATTATTTCACTGAGTGCTGAAAGAGTTTGTATCATAAAGAAAACACTACAAAACTTGAAAATAAGGAAAAGTGACATATAAAGAAACAAACAGTAATACATTTGGGTAGGAAATCTGCTTTTAATATAAACTTCAACTTGATTTAGTTATATTTACACTGTGCTCCAAATTATTATCTACAGGCAGAGTCATCCAGAAAATTAAGGGAGGCATATATGATAAACATAAAAATTAAAATTTTGACAGAATAAAATAAATAAGATTTAGTAATTACATTAAGCATGTTTTCAATCCCGTAGTAAGCTGTTAAAAATAGAACTGTTCAAAGCATGCTGCCAAAATTTCTTCAAAATGACTTGTTTTGAAATGTTGACTAAATATCCCAAAACTGTATATCAACTTTAGTATAATTAAACATTTTTCAGACCCAAAACATAGCTTTTCTGTATATTCTTAAACATAAATTTCTCCTTCATATTAGGACACAAAGGATGATAATTTGTTAACATTTGTTAACATTTAAAATAATTTTAAATAATTTTCAGAAAGTTTCTAATAATGACACAAGGCTTTATAATTTATAAATTGCTTCCACATATTTAATTCCCAAAATTAACCTATTAAGGAAAATTCAGTCTTATTTAGTCCTATTTTATATTATAAGTGTTCAACATATATTTATTTAATAAATATTTATACATGTACTGTTCATTTACTTAATAAATATTTACTGAACAAATTGAATGAATGAACAAATGAATAAATTTAGTTCAAATTAATTAACTTTTGAAGATCACTCAGAAGTGGCCAAATCTGAGTCTCCATCTTCTGATTATTCAAGGAGGCCACAACGTCTAGAAATATAGACAAATGTATGTAATAAATGGTTTATTGGTATGCACAGCAAAACATAATATGTTCAATGACATTTCATACGTTCAATCTGTTGTTCCTCTGTAATAACGATAGCTCAATCAGAGTTGCAATGAACATGGTGCATTTACATAGCATTTACATCAATGTCTATACATGCATTTGTGATGCATTGCCTCAGGTGATTTGTGTTGCTGTTTCCACTGGATAAACCTGTACCTATAGAATTCAAGAATAAAAGAAGAGCGTTCTAATCTGTAAACAAAAATATTATCTTTATTTCTAGACTTTATGGCTACTCTCTCGCTTGCTTGTTCTTTCCCCCACCAAAGCTGCTTCATTTCTTACATTCCCTCAAGTATGGGAGATGATGGGCTCTCTCTAGTATAAGTGGTCCTGCTTCACAGAGGGAAGCTGTGCAAGGCTGCACACATAAGTCAGTTGCCACACAAGAACAACGTTATGCCCAAGTTCAGTTCAGGAACTTGAGATTAGTTAATTCTGTCTTTTATTTTTGTTCTCCTTGGCCACTCTGCCTTGCCCCACTGTCCCTATCAGATTGAAATCTCACCTATTTGTATTCTTAATTACTATTGATATATTTCCCAGATCTTTCCACTGTGCCTTTGGAACTGGAATATGATTTGCAAACTGATTGTCCTTCAACGCTATTCAAAGAACACTCTCTATGCCTTTTCTCCCTTATTTGAAATGGTTACTAGAAGACACCCTTTCTTTTTCAGCGTTCACTGGGGGAAGTTGCTCCTTCTTTCCATTGCCATGTGTCAAGTGCCCTGAGATAGCATTAACATTCTACCCGAAGTTCTCCTTTTTAGGTTCATGCCATTTGTCCCGCTGTCCTCTTTCTTTCCTTGTCACTATATCTTGCCAATCACTTCTGTTCTTTCATGAGAGGGTGCTTACATTTGGTTCATTGTTTTCCTCTCCTCCACAACTCTTATGATTAGGAAATTTTAACTCTGACTTCAGTGACTTATCCAGTGTCCTACCTTTATACACCCTTGGTCCTCTCAAAACTAGTGATCTTCTAAGGCAATGTAACTTTTTTTTCTTGTCACATGTGAAATAGCATCCAGTTCTAAAATCTACTCTCTGTACCAAACCTCCTCCCCTTAAGATTCTCTATATCCTACTAAACCTACACTTCAGGCTTATTTTGGTACCCAGATACTTCACTACTCCTTTTTCTTCAAGTATGTCAGACCGCAGTTGGCTTCATCCTCCACTCTGAAGCCCATGCCACATAGAACAGTGATAGCCAAGTGTGCGCCACAAACCAGCAGCATCAGCATCAGTGTCTCTTGGGAGCTTGTAAGAAATGCAATTTCCTTGGGCCCCACTTCACATCCACGAAGTAAGAAACTCTAACAGTGGAGCCCAGCAATCTGTGTCTTGAAAAGCCCTCCAGGTGGTTCTGATATACACTTAAAATATAACCAGTAATATAGACCATTAATTCAACTGCTCTCTTGCCAGCATCTTTAATATCTTTGGGTCGTAAAGAACACTCAAACGTGAATGCATCATTATCTTATTCAAAACCCCTCCATGTGTAAGATTTCTAAAAAATACGAAGTTCTCCAGCTTTATTCAGCATCCACTTTCCATATACAATCACCACCTTTAATCCAAATGCTCTTTGTAGTCCCTATTCATCTAAATTTGAACACCGTATATCTGTCAAATGCCCACTACTTACTGATACTTCCAAAGGTATTTCCCTTGTAACCATCCTCTGTGGGGGATGCTGAGCGATGTTGACTTGCTCACGGTCACATATATAGAAAGAGGTGGAGCTAGAGTTTGAACTCACATATATCTGCGTACAAAACCCGTGTTTTTCTATTTTGCTGCCGAATTATATGAAGCACCAATTGCATTGATATGCTTTATTCATGCTAGTTGAAGCAGTACTTACCAATGGATCTCTATAGAACTTTAAAAAATAAGTTATATGAGATCTATTATCAAATAACTTTGATAAATGTCAGGTTAAATAGTTTTCTTTATTGTAAGATTTCTAAGAGCCTTTAATATGCTGTTGTGTATTTTGATCCTCCAAAAAGCAGATATGGAATGTTCTTTGCCCAAAGAACCGTTTGTTAGTAGACCATCTGTATTAAGACCTTGCAGGACTAGAATTCCAAGGTCTGCTTTGGAAAGCCTGGACTTAAACTATTTCCTTTCTCTTCAAGAAATGCGGAATTGCTTATCTCCCTTGATTCCTTTATTTCATCAGCTTTTATCCTCTATTTTATATCCCCACTCTTTTAAACTAGAACGCTCATGTCCCTTTGTCCCACTAAGCACTGTTCTTCTGCATCAGGGATGCATTCAGAGGAATTACATTTAGCATATGATGTTAGGTGCCAGAATTATAAATATAGTATATATGTACGTATATGCACTACTTCATGTAAAGCTCATAATGACTTTGTGATGACATTAAGTTGCAAATGTTATAGCATCACAATACTGTGACGTCTATATATCCAATCCTAAATAAGCTGTGTTAGGCTAGCAGTCTGTAGAGCATTACTTTTCTGCCTAACCCGTGCTGGACATAAGAATTATGAATGTGATTTATATGGGATCTTCCTGCAGTCCACATATATATTCATAACACTATTTGGGGGGGCATTTTGCCCTAGATTTTATCTAAAAATCAGCAAAAGTTTAAATTGCAAGTGACTGAGTTATAGAATGAGAATATACACACTATAAATTAAACAATGAATTTATATGTACTTGCAGCTCACTATGTACTAAAAATGGAGTTTTGATGTTAATTTCAGTTAATCTTCACTAGAAATTGGTTACACCTCTAGGAAATTATGTTTAATAGATATTTTTTTCCCAGTCCAGCGTATCATCTCTTTTTCTTTCATTGTGCAGGTTCTGCTGATCTTCTTCTCTGTGTTCCGTGCTCCTCTTGTCCTGCACTGGTCTACTCTGGTATGTTTGCTCAGGGCACTTGATGTCAATGTTGGGTAATTATGGGTACTATCTACAACTGCGCAGAGCTCAGATTTTTCTTGTTAATACGTAGTCCTCATGACCTACAAGAGAACAAGGTTTCCCTCCAAGTACTGTGCATAATGTTTCCTTTTTCTGTTTGTGATGTTCTGTGGATCTCAGGCTCCTCATTGAGTCTGTATTCTCCTATGCTGAGGAAGTGGGATAGGATTTTAAATCCCCTCTCCTTGGCAGGAAAATCACTTTTACATTATGTGAGATGAAAATATATTCCCCCACTGTGCAGACCATGGACTCTATGACACCATGAAAATTGTTTTGGAGATACAGCATCTCAGAACAATTTCACATCCATGGACATGAGGCTACTCTGTGAACTGGGTATATAAAGATAAACAATTCACGATATCTTCTCTCAAGTATGTCACAGAGAGAAGCAAAGGGTTGAGTTTGTCCTTAGCACTCATAGAATCACAGAATATCAAAATTGGAAAGAATTTTAGAACCATCTACTTCTCTTCCAATCTAATGCTGGTCTCTTCTCTGCAACACCCCTACCAAAAGGTCATCCAGCCTCTACGTGAACACCTTGAGTAGTGGGAAGTATACTACCTCCTGTGGCTGCTCATTCAACGTTGTTCTGCTCTAATTGCTCATTGACCTAATAATTCTATATTAAGAAAGCGCCTAAGGAAATAATTTCTGCAATGCACCACTGTGTAGTTATCAGAATATTATTACATTCATTGCACACGTTTTGTAATAAAACATGGAAAACATAAAAAATGGAAACAACATAATTACCAACAAAAGAGGATTGATTAAAAAAATTATAACAGTCTATATAATGGAATACTCTACATCTATTATGAATGATGATATATATATATTAACTGGATATATACATATATTTATATCAATATTAAATGGCTCCATCTAGCTATAGATATCTATAAATATTCTGATGTGGAAACATTTTTTACCATATTGTTATTAAAAAAAGTGAGTCACAAGACACTATATTAAATATAATTCATTTTTTTGTTATACATAATGCATAGATACGTACACAATCATATATTTATATCTGCAGAATAGTGTCTGGACAGTTACCAACAAAAATATATCAAAAAGGTAAATGCACCCCCATGTTTATTGCAACATTATTTACAATAGCCAAGATATAGAAACAATGTAAGTGTCCATTGATGGATGAATGGATAAAGAAAATGTGGTACATATACCATGGAATATTATTCAGCCATAAAAAGGAATGAAATCTTGTCAATTGTGATAACATGGATGGACCTTATGGACATTATTCTAAGTGAAATAAGTCAGACAGAGAAAGACAAGTAACATATGATCTCACTTATATGTGGAATCTTTTCTTTTTTTTTTTTGTGAGGAAGATCAGCGCTGAGCTAACATCCATGCCAATCCTCCTCTTTTTGCTGAGGAAGACCGGCCTTGAGCTCACATCTATTGCCAATCTTCCTCCTTTTTTTTTTTTTTTCCCTTTTTTCTCCCCAAAGCCCCAGTAGATAGTTGTATGTCATAGTTGCACATCCTTCTAGTTGCTCTATGTGGGACGCTGCCTCAGCATGGCCGGAGAAGTGGTGCATCGATGCGCGCCCAGGATCCAAACCCCAGGCCGCCAGTAGTGCACTTAACCGCTAAGCCGCGTGCACTTAACCGCTAAGCCACGGGGCCAGCCCTTTATATGTGGAATCTAAAAAACAAAAAACAAGCTCATAGATACAGAGAACAGATTGGTTGTTGCGAGAGGCAGGGGGTAGGCAAAATGAGTGGAGGTGGTCAAAATGTACAAATTTCCAGTTATAAAATAAATAAGTCATGGGGATGTCATGTACAGCATAGTGACACAAACAAACATGTATTGCTTAACTTGTAAAAAATGTTTAAAACCTACTTTAAAAGAAATTACTCTCATTTTGCTCCAAAATCTGAATCCTCGTAGCTGCCTTCTTTCTGGTTCTGTCCTTTTGTATCACAGACAAAAAATTGTATGTCTCTTCCACATAATAACTCTACCATTGTAGGAACACAAAGATCATGTGGTTCCCTTCTTTGGTCCTTCATGTGTTCTTTGTATGGCATACAAACATACCGTCCTTCAACTCAAGAGATCTAAATGAATAGGTCATTCATGTGATTCATGTTTAATAAAGGCCTACAATGAGTCAAGAACTGTGCCAGAAAATAACATGTCCCTATCGTAGGTGACACGAGCTTTCTAAGTGATGAAGTCACACACTGAAGGTTATTTACACAAAATGCTGCAGATTATTGTTATATATGCATTAGGGTGAGGTAAGTTCATGCAGCAGGAGGATTCTACCCTGACTAGCAGTCAAAGGGCCCAGAGGAAATGGTATTTAAGGCTAAGATCTAAGGAGTATAGGAGTTAGTCAGACAAAGGAGTTAGCTGGGGTTGGTTGGGATGAGTAGAGGCTTCTAGAAAAGGGAACAATACATGCAAAAATAACTAGACTTCCTTTTTCCCTCTCTCCCTTCCTCCCTTCCTCTTCCTCCTCTCTTCCTTCTGACAAATACTTATTGAGCAAATACCACGTGCAAAGTACTCCTTCAGGTCCTTTGAGTAATTTGCGGATTGATAGTCTTCTTTCAAAGTGTTTATAGTCTAGTGGATGCATCAGGAATATTAAATACAACTAAGGTACAAAGTGGAAAAAAACACATAAAATAAAGTATTCTGGGAGCATAGACATTTCCCCTTGCCATCCTAATCACATTCTTCTGGGAAAAAAATAAAGGGATGTTTCCAACGGAGCAGTATGGACAAACAGTCCCAGTGCTGAAGGAGGACTTGTGCAGCCTGATCCTCCTTACGCCTCTAGTTTTCTAGTCAGTTTTCATAATTCCTTCTAGACTAGTAATTGTGTGCATACCTTGCAAGTATTTCTCATTGGCCATATTTGGAGAGAAACCAATCTGTCTTAACAGTCCAAGATATTTTTAGAACATCCGCTTCTATTATATATACAAAAAATGCTTTATATAGATATCAGAAATTGACATACTGGCAGAAAATTTGGTTAACAGAGGTAGTACTGTAAGGTCAATGCCATTGTAAAAGTTCATCCAGAGTATAAGCAAGCATTAAAATCCCAATCTTTCTTTTCAATATGCTGCAATCTAGACAGATCATTAAGCACATTTTCTGTTGTTTTGTTTCTCCCCTACAGGTCTGTGAAGCAGACAGAAGAAGCTACAAGTGGTCCTTAAAGAAATTGCAATTATTCAAATCTTTATGTATAGTTCTAATTTTACTTACTATGTATAATCATTTAGAGAATGGTTATTTTTATAATATCAATAATAAACAAGTACTCTTGTAACCAGGGGGTGCCCGAGTGTGTCATCAGAGAACACTAATCCTGGCAAAGGTTTCTGGGGTGGTTAGGACACCCGCTGCCTTTTGACATGGTTAGTGTCCTGGGTTTAGATTACTTCATACCTAGTTATTAAGATTACTCTTTGATACATTAAATATTGCCTGATTCAAATAACTTTGCTTAAAATTTTTCTGTATTTTAACTTGTTGAGGGTTTTCTACTTCTTATATTTTTATAATATTTTCTCATTTTTTAGATTAATGAACATTATACTTACCCACATGTGCCAAGATGTGCCATTTAGGTCTCTCTAGGAGTTAGCTGTTTGGTAGCATCACCTGCCATCTGTGTTTTGTGCAGCAGCAAGAGGCATATTCTCCACCACTGCTCTTTCCTCCCATTATCTTCCCTGTTCCTATCAAAACAAATAATTGATATGTTAATTCAATAAAGCAGATCAGTAAGGAGTGAAATGCATGCCCCAAAGCATATGCAATGAAAATTTTTTGACCATTTATCCAATTATTGAACCCAATTAAGATTATCCATTTTAAATTTGATGTATGCTTGCTTTGGAATATGTTATGCAAACTGATGCTAAGTGAATGGATCTAAGTAAATCTATTGAGTATCTCTTCTGTCTGTTTTATCTTATTTGTCTTAATCTAAGTTTGCTCTCTGGACCTTTAAGGCATATGGCTAAATTATAAAACTGCCTGTATAACTGTCAAAGAAACAAACGTTAAAGGCTAGAACATGGCTAAAGAATAAACAAAGAAGCTCTGATTATATTAATTAAGTCATATTCCTAAATCAAATAATATAAAAAGTTTTCTTACATTAACATTGTCATGTGCATAGAAACTCAGAAGACTAATTTTCATAAAAGTTTTTGTTTTCTGTTTTTTATGTTTTTTGCTGAGGAAGATTCACCCTGAGCTAACGTCTGTTGCCAATCTTCCTCTTTTAATATGTGAGCCACCACCACAGCATGACATCTGACAAAGGAGTGGTGTAGGTCTGCACCTGGGAACCAAACCCGGGCCGCCGAAGCAGAGCCCACCAAACTTAAGCACTAGGCCACTGGGGCTGGCTCTAAAAGTTATTGTTTTTTATGGGTAGAAACACGTTAAAGGCTTAGAAACAGTGTATTTTTTAGCAGAAAAGAGGGAAGGCAAGAGTGTAAGTTTATGGGAGCAGAACACTCCTCTATTTAAAAATCCTTACCATGAAGAATATCTTCAAAAATGTTCAACTGAGAATCCAAATGTTTTCCCTATTAGGAATAATCTTTCTTTGAAACATCTCACCCCTAATGCTTTCTCTGAGCCATACTTTTCTCCAACCATCACTTGGTCAGTTTTTGTCCTACTCTTGTTCACTCACCTTCTTCTGGAGACAGTCACCCTGCTAGGTGCCACATAGACCTCAGGAATTAGATCCACCAGGACATCAGAGTGTACGTTGCTGAAAATGCTACCAAAGACGTACAAAGCCAGACACTAATTAAAGTGGTAAGGATAGATTTTAATCAGTATTATACTATTGCCGTAGAGAAGAGGGTCCAGCATGAACTGAACTCAACTTCAATTCTTGCAGAGGTGACTGGATGTTTTAAAGGGAGAGTGAAGGAGTAGGGATGTGGAATTGCCAGGGCTTGAGCAGAGTCAGCAAAATGGAAATTTATCAAGAGCAGGAAGAGGGGTTGATTCATGTGAAACTCACCTGGGTTTGCCTACTGGTGCTTATGGAAGTTTGACTTCTCTCCTCCTACAGAGACTTGGAGACAGGGCTCTATCTTCAGGTGTTGGCTGGAACAAATAATTAATTCTTTTGGCAGGCTTATACTTTCCCAGATGGAAACTTAAGGGGGCTGGAGTCGTCATCCTAGGGATGCTGCCTTGACTGTTAGAAACTATGTTTGTGTATGTTCAAGTCTTCTAAGGAGGGAGTGGATTTGGGGGGATGAAATCATTTGTACTCAGAGTCTGCAGTTTTTCTAGGCCAAGATTGAGGCCTGGTCAAGAAGAGCAGTTAGAGGAGCCAGGCTAGAGTTTGGTCAAAGAGACAATCTTCGTATGCCAACTAAACAGGTCACACATACAGACACATACCCTCTCTTCTTTGTCAACTCCTATAAGCACTTTCAGAGGCCAAAGCCAGTAAACAGCTAGAGCTTGAATCGGGAAATTTCTCCAGGTTGCTTTCCTATCTCCTCTTTCAAATGTCACACATGAAGTCTGAATCTGTTGGCGCTCCTCTTGGCTCTCATCACTAATTTTGCCTCTTTCGCGTTTTTTAACATAGCCCTAGAGTTCTTGTAATGTTGGGGCTTGAAAACCCCACACAAAAAGAGCTTCTAGAAATGCTCCTCAGATTCCCTACTCCAACATCACTACTGTAGACAGATGGCTTTGGACTCCAAGTCATGCCATGGCCTCTGAGTGTCCTTGGCTGATAGCCTCTGGACATGGAGGCCAGATCCTTATTCTCAAGAGCATCACATTCTAGTGGAGGAAACATACATATGAACAGATAATTTAAATAAAATGTGGCAGTGTGCAATGATGAAGACATTTACAAGCTAGGCCACTATGGGAGCGCAAAGGAGCAGTTATGAATCCATCTGGGATCTGAACTTGGAAGAGGATGAGTTGTGGGGTGGGTGGGAACACAAAGAAGTTTCTATGGAAGAGATAATGACTCAGTTGGGTCCCTAAAGATGAGATGGAGGAAATTGAGCAACAAAAACAAATAGGAGGGTCTTAATGGGAGCAATAGAATGAACCCAGTATAGAAATATGAGTGGGCAGAGTGTGCACAGGGATGAGAATACACGCACGGTATTAATCACTAGAGTGTGTAGAGTATGGTATGATATGGCAGTTGATGGGGCAAAGAAGTGGGCATGGACTGGGCTAGGAAAAATCACACATGCCATCAAGTGATCTTCAACGCTGGTTGCTCATCAGAATCACAGATGCTTAAACCCTACTCTCTGGGATTAAGATTCGGTTGGTTTGAGGCGGACCCTAGTCATAAGTATTTATTAAACATCTTTTTACTTGATTCTAATGAATAGCCAAGGATGAGAGCCATTGCTGAAGAGAGCTACTAAGGATTTTCAGCAGCAGAGAGGAGAGTGAGACTGTCAGATGGGTAGTTAGGCTAGCTGGCTCTGGCAGCTGTGAGGAAAATGGAAGAAGTAAGAGACACGAAGAATAGGCAAACGTGGAAATGGGGAAACCAGCTAGGAAGCCATTTCAGGAGTTAAAAAAAATAATAATAAAGGTTTATTTAGATTTGTTAAGGCAAAAGATGTTAAGGATCTAACTGCGGAGGGACATTCTGGAAGTAGAGGAGCAGATAGAATCAAAACCTATTTGAGGGCTAGAATTGTCAGCTCTTGTGGGATCATGTGCACACAGATGGGGATAATAAGGTAATGTCAAGAGTGCCTCCCATGTTTATGGCTTGGGCATAGGGGTCACTATAGGACAACGCAAGGGACCACAGGGAAAATTGGCTGCAGGAGATGATAGTGGCAGTGTAGTTATGTTGAGGTGGAGTTGCCTATAGGACATTTGATCTGAAATGTCCAGTACGTGTTGAGGCCAAATGCAAGGCTGAAGATACAGTTCTGAGATTTTTATATATATATATATATATATATATAAAACCCGTATATATATATGGGTTGATGAAAACTATAAAAATGGATCACATTGCCTGAAGAGAGCTTCTGGATGGCTTTCTAAGGAACACCTAAGTTTAGGGGTCAGGCCACAGAGATGGCAGGAAGGAGACAACAAAGAACTATTCAGAAAGATAAAACATAAAACAAAAGAGAGGGGTGCCAGCTACCAAGAGAATGAACACTGTGATTTTCATGGTAGTTTTCCCCAGTTAAATTTAAATCTTTCATCTGACACTAGATGCACTGTATATGTCCTACAATATACTTCCTTAAACAGTGAGTTTTTCTTCCTTTAACTGGAAGGCCAGGAAAAGGTTCACCTTGGATGGAACCTCCAGGGATGAGAGAGGCAGGGACAGTGACTATCCTCATGTGATGTCACTACAGGGCATACTAAGAGACAGAGAAGAAAAACATTGCATGAGCTGACTATTGTCCTACCTCCTTTCTTTAGAAAAAGGGGTTATCTCCTCCATAAGCCTCTGAGAATGTCGAATCCCCCACCCCGCTTCATCTATTGCTTATTCAACAAGTATTTGTCAAACACTCACTGTGTATCTAATACCATATTAGATTCTGGGGACTCAGCAGTAGTGGGACAGACATGGTCCTTGCATTCATGAAGCAAGGTGGCGACTACGTGCATAACGCTGAGAAATAAACACTCATTTACGATAGAGCTTAAGAGTGAAGTATAGGAGGCTAAGGGACTACATATGAGGAACCTAATCTACACTGCAGGTAAGGAATCTTGGGCTTTGGTTAACCTGCAATCTAAAGGATGAAGGAGGTTATTCAGGTGAAATCGGGGGAAGTTGAGGGGAATTAGGGATAGTAATGGAGAAAGGTGCTGAGGAGTATTTTGAGAGAACAGCATGTGTAAAGATCCAGAGATGGGAAAGAGCGTGGTGTAGCAGGTGAAATGAACAACTGAGTATGGCTGGAACGTAGGAGATGTGCAGTATCATCAAGTGATGCAGATGAGAAGTTATTAACAGCCAAACGATAAAGCTATTATAGGATATATTACATTCAGAAAGCCAGAGAGACACACAGAAGAGTTTTGGGGAGGTGAATAGTAAGAATTGCATTTTAGAAAGACAATGTTTGGCTTCAGTGTGGAAAATGGATCGTAAAGGGACAAGACTGGAGGCCAGGAGAATGGCTAGGACATTGTCACAGTAATCAACATTAGAGACAGGGAAATGCATAGACAGAAGAGGAATTTAAATAGTTGATGATTAAAGATGGGTAGGAAGTGTTACAGATAATGGTCAGATTTCTGGCCTAGACACCAGGTAGTAAAATATATTTGGAATGAGGGGAAGATGCAGAGTTCAGCTGGGGACATGTCGAATTTAAAGAGACTGGGCCCATATCCAAGACTTTGAGCATCAGCAACATAAAAACGGTCAAACAGAGCATAACAGAAATTAAGGCAGTAGAGAGCATCATCCGATGAGAGTGTGTGCAGTGCAAAGAGGACGGAAACCTCATGGACGCAACAGCACTTAAGGGACTGAAAAAGTGATTTCAAGAGTAAAGATTTTAAGTACACTGGACTGAGTGGGTGGCCCACACACTGTTCTAGGAAGCAGAAGGTCAAAATCAATGCACTGCAAGGTCCTCAGTTCCTGTGAGCACAGCTGGATTTCAGGCAAGAAGCAAGCCTGGGCTCATTTGTTGAACAACCTTTAGTAGTCTAGTTTAATGAGGCTGCAGACTTCCTGTGGGTGGATGGAATAAAAAGCAATATGGGAGTGGAGAGGGGATCAAGGAACATACAATTTCCCTTATTTAGGAAGAAAAACTAAGGCATTACCAATTTGGGGTCTTGTTTTTCAGTGTGTGGAGACACCTACCTTGAAAATCCCTTTTTCTTTGGTTAAAAACGATGAAGAGATGACTAAAATCTTTAGGAGATGGCTTAAGAATTAGTCCTGCTGCAACATTTTTATCTTCCTTTTTTCCCTCAAGCTAACCAAGCATAAGTTTTTGGTTGGTTATAAGGAAAATAACCATTGGCAGCTGCAATCAGTCTTCTA